GGCATGACAGCGAGCACTCTGACTCTAGTGGATTGGGTTTTGACTGCTCTGGTCTGGAGTACACTGACCTGGAAGCAGCGGAGGCTCTGGTGTGCATGAGCTGTTGGAGCACAGATCTTTTCTATAGCCGCAAAAAGCCAAAGCCAAAGCCAAAGACCTGCAAACCAAGACCCCTAACCCCAGCTTCAGACTCCGGCGACTCCCTCCCACCATCAGAACTTCCAGACCCCCCAAAGGACTTTGTGTCCTTCTCCTCCCTGGTAAGACATATCATATAGCACCAACATATGGGCACCACCACTGCAGCATTTCTTCATCATAGTTTGAACTAAAAGGACTAAAAGGTTGGCCTTGTGATGCATATGTGTTAATGATATGAGGTTGGGGCAGCTGACAATTGCTACAACAAGAAAAACCTTGTTACAGTTAGGTGTTTGACTGTCAGGCAGAGTTCCTTCTTGCAGAGGCAGGGTCATAAAAATCACTGTTTTATAGCTCATTATGATGGTTATTATATGTCTTATCTGCTTGCCACCTGTGATGCTTATCACTGCAAATGTAGGTTCTTATGCAACTAGAGACAGTAGATGCACTTTTTAACTCTCTGACTGTCTCTTTGCAGTGTATGACCCCGCCCCACAGTCCCAGCTTTGTTGAAACGTCATCAGGCACTGCATCGCAGTCAAGTTCTGGCTTGGTCGCATCCACGCAGCAACTTGTCCTGGCAACCGTTGCTGAAAAGACCCCCTCTCTCCCCCTCACACAGCCCTGCAAAGCAATGGCGACAAGCGTGATCCGCCACACTGCGGATAGAACCCTCTGCCAGCACCACATTCCAGTGGCCCCCAATCCAGAGAAAGCTAGGGACATGGTAACAGCTACTACAATGGTCTCCCAGCAGCAGGAGCAGCAGTGCATCACAAACACAGAGCAGATAACCACACCTCCATCCCCTCCTGCTTCTCTCATACCTTCAAAAACAGAGCAGCCACCCAGTCCCCCCAAATTCTGTTTGGACAGTGTCCCCACCCTAACTCCTGTCAACAGCCAACCGCAAAATAGCCCACCCTCTCCCCCTGTTCCCACAACTGTGTCCCCTCCTCCAGTTGCAAACCCTCAAATCATCTGCCAGATGTTCCCTGTCAGCAGCCAATCGGGTATAATCTCAGCCTTCATCCCCAGTGCGGTTCAGACATCCAATTCTGGCATTCGGGCTGCTGCCACACCCATCCTCCCCCAACCCACCTCAGCTAACAACCCCCCTGTCCAGCAGTCCCTGATTGTGGGCTCCTCAGTGCCCCAAGGCACAGTGATGCTGGTCCTCCCTCAGTCATCCATCTCTCAGGGTACCCACTGCCCTCAGACTGTCATGACCCTGGGCAACACCAAGCTACTACCTCTGGCCCCAGCCCCTGTGTACTTGTCAACAGGACCCAGCAGCACCACAACAGCCACAAAGATGGATTTTTCCCGCAGGAGGAACTATGTCTGCACCTTCCCAGGCTGCAGGAAGACCTACTTCAAGAGCTCACACCTCAAAGCTCATCTTCGAACACACACAGGTGGGGGGGTTTACTGCCTTCAGAGTTGCTTGTGAGAATGTGGACTGAAAATGAGTGTTGCATCCTGTTTGTAAAACATTCCTTCTCCGACCTTGTTATTCTTGTCGGGAAAGAGAGTGAGCTCATTGTTTTATTGTAAGCCAAGCTCAGTTATGTGTCAAGTTTTTATGACTACAATGTGACTCACTTGTTTTCTTCACTTGGTCCTCCCTTAGGTGAGAAGCCCTTCAGCTGCAGCTGGGACGGGTGTGATAAGAGGTTCGCCCGCTCTGACGAGCTCTCCCGTCACAGGCGTACACACACTGGCGAGAAGAAGTTTGTGTGTCCCGTGTGCGACCGGCGGTTCATGCGCAGCGATCACCTGACCAAACACGCCCGCCGCCACATGACCACAAAGAAAATTCCCTCCTGGCAGGCTGACGTCAGGAGTTTGAACAAAATGGCCACAGGAAAAATCCCTCCCTCGAAGTCTGGCATTGCAGCGCTAAGCATGCTGGTACCTGTTGGCTCAAACTAAACAATGAACAACCTGCCACCCGACCCACTCCCAAGATACCAGAGGGACACACAGGAAGCAGTCAAGCACATGGGACTGCTGTTCTTTTGAATCATGGGAATGAAAAAGAAATCATGCACTGGACTCTCTTCCTGCTCTACTGCTCATTTGTACACATATTTTCTCTAAAAGATTCTTTGTTTATATAATTGTGATTATATGTATGCACTCTTGCCAAAGCCTTTGTATGAAGTTTTGTCTTATACATTTCACCTTCTGCACCTCTCCTTTGTTTGTGTTGATATTCATGTACGTGTATGTGAATGTGTTGTTTGTTGTACTATGAAATGAATTTGTCACATTTTTGGGGGGGATGGGTGAAAAGAAATGTACATAGGAATAGTAATCATCAGTACCATAATTATACCTTGATTGTATCTCCCTGTCTACCTTTTCATATTATTTAATACATATTTGTAATAAAAAAACAAGGGTAAATGAGTCATGATTGTGAGTCTTGTGACCTTTCCCGTATTCTAAAAATGAAAAAAATCATGTGTGGGATCAAGATGAAGTCAGCAATCTTTCCCAGTCATCTCACGCACAAATACACAAAAGTGGTGCCTGCCCACATCCTGTGTGTGTGTGTGTGTGTGTGTCACGCTGACTCCCACTACCGCCACCGCCCTCTTTGGTCAACTGAAGCTCACTCATGTTCTTTCAAATGTGCTGACTGGCCTGTGGGTAGCTTCCTGCTGGTTGAATGATTTTTTTCTGGGTGTTATAAAAGCTCTTTTGGCAAATCCATCTGGGGACATCGCGTCCTGTTCATTAGCTCAGAGACGGAGCCAGATGAGTCAGAACAGACAGGCAAGTTGGTTGTATTGTACTGGAGTTCATTAGAAGCATATTTGAGCACATTCAGATCTGTCACATGGGAGCAAGGAGGGCACGAGTTACAGCTCTTGCATAATACTCTACTAAGTTCATTATAAAGTCCCTGGTGTATTTAGCATATGTGGACTGGTGTTCAGAATAAAGTCACATGCCTGACCTTTTTTCGTACAAAGCTCTGAGAAACTGTTAGAACTTTATTTTTTTATGAATCATAAAGATGTACTGTCTCTTTGTGATGCCGCTTTCTCTCTCACACACACATGCAGTTTCATAAGCAGTGGTCCCATACCTAGTAACAGTCCACCCCTTCCAATCACACAGTGAGGAACAGGAACTGCTGGGGGTGCGACCAATCACCTCTCTCGCTCGTACACCCGCCCATTTGCCTTACTGACCGATATACTAACTGGCTGAGTTCCACCTGAAGTGTGGTCTATGGAGACACCTGCTGGTGGGACTGTGTAATGTTATTGCTTGCAACGATGGAAAAAACACGCCCGGAATATAAAAAAAAAAAAAAGAAAAGAAAAAAAACAAGAAGAAGAAAAAAGGATATTTCACAAATAGCGGCCTACCCATTATGTCATCATTAACATGATAACATAATGGGTAGAAATTAAAACGTATACTGTATAGAGTTCAAGGGTAGCTAATTCATTCTTTGTACTATGCATTTTATTCAAATTTATTTGCTTAAAGCTTTAATTAATAGAGTTTGTTTAATTCATAGGTTGTGATTAGGTGGCATGCTCTAATGACGAGATTTTAGGTATTACTGGGAGTTATTGTTGGGACCAATTGTATCTACTATACAATGTCTCCTTAAATATAGTTCCGAACAGATCATATTTTTAAAATGATCAAAATGTTAATTAAGATTTTTCTGAAATGACAGTAAAGACTAAACTATTAAAGGTCAGGAAAACATTAGTTTAAAAAACTGTAGCAGTGGCATGTTTGTGGAATTTTTCATTTTAGAAGAGAATAGGAAGACAAACCTTGACACACGTAAATGTTGTTTTGTAACCTACATTAAAATTTTGCAATTTCCTTACGTTGTTACACATTTAAGGTCAGCAGTTGTTAGTGGAATTTTTTAATGTAACTTTGAAAATGTTTTTTGCAATGTTCTAATACTAAAGTCCATCTGGTGTTTCTTTGATGAAGTCTCTTTCAGTGTGTGTTTTTAGGTAACACCCTGTGCCTATGAACCCTATTCAGAGTCACTCACTTGCACACAATTTTGTTACAAACCTGATTTTAAGTGATTTGGGAGTGAATTGGTAGTAATATCAGAAAACATATCTACCATCTCTGACTACCTTCGCTGTCTGATTTGATGATGTGCAGTACAGGGAGCGTGTGCTGTCTCCATCCATGTTCATCTTCTACGCCTGAGCCTTCCAGTACAACTCCAAGTCGTGCCATGAACAGAAATACTCATATACTTCCACAGTGGTTGGATAGAGTGGTCTGGCAGGAATCATCAGCTTCTGAATGCAAATAACATCAGAGAGACAGTGCACATTTCAGCACAAGGACATCAGCACACTGGATGAGTACCAGGGTGTCTACACTGACAACAGGCTGAACTGAAAGAACAGCACAGAGGCTGTTATAAGAAGAGTAGTGTCCACATTGAGTTTCCTAAGGAAGCTGAGGTCCTTCAACATGTGTACGTGAAGCAAAATGATGGGAAGGCAGTGCACTTTGCCATAGTTGGAACTTGTGGCATCAACAAACTGAATACGCTGATTAAGACAGATATAGAGAGCCTTTGATACCGCATGCTGTCACATTGTGTAACAGTAATAAAAAGATAATAAAATAATAATGATATTAATATTATTAGGATATTTCATCATGATTTCACCTGCCCTAACAGAATAATTTCCTAAATATGGGATTTAAAAGTGTCTCATATTCTCATTCATTTTTCATTTTTTTGGTATTCATTCGTTAAATGACGACATTTATTATTGTTTATTATTGGATTTTAACCTTTAATCCGTAAGGGAGGCTATCAGGCGGATTTTTTGGTTGCGCCGGTCTGTCGTTGCTATAGTTACATCAACACAACTGTTGGTTCCGCTACACTGTCGCTGAAGCTGGACCGTCTATTATTGGACCTAAAGAAGAAAATTATATCGCGTATCTTTCACATTAGTAAGACCAGGTGGTAAATGTGTTTTGAATTTCACCTCTTTATTTTTCCAAAGATTAAAAGTCACGAAAATTTGAGGCCATTTTCTGTCCTCCGAGCTACGTTCAGCTTAGCGCTTCTGTTCTCCCAGTATAAGCATGGAGTTCGGGGAGAAGCTCAAAGAGCTCAATTTGACAGCGTATGAAGTCGACAGGTTTACGAAAGCTTTCAAAGACGAGAAATTCCGGGAAATGCTCCGGGATTACACCCAAGAAATTTTAGACCCCGAGAACAGGAAAATGTACGAAGAAGAGATCAAAATCCTGGAGCAGGAGAGAGGCAACACCGTCGAGTTTATCCACCCAGAACCGTTTAGGGCCATCAAAACCAGCGTGGACGGCAAGCAGAAATGTTTCATCAACATTTGCGCCAGTGATAAAGTTGGGAAGCCTTCATCTAAGTGGGTTGTGTCGGAGAATGGCCGCAGAGGTCAGTGTTGGTCCTTGCCTCACAGTCTGCACCCTGGGAGGCAGGACACAGATCCTAAAGGTAACAAAATGATGATTTATGATGTTGTTTTCCACCCTGACACTACCCGCATGGCAAGCAAAAACAAGAGCTTTCTGGAAATGGTGGACAGTATAGCTATCCAGGGAATCCAGGACACCTTTAAAGTGACTCTGGACAAAAAGAACACGAGAGAAATGAAAACAAAATACAAAGGCACCCCACAGCCCTGTGTTATAAGAAAAGCCATACCTGGATTCAAAGCCAAGGAGTCTTCAGACTCTCCAGACCCCCTTGCCTTTCCGTACCCAGATGAAAAAAGACCGAGCACACAATCAAAGCCCACAGAGGCACCTAGTACAACAAAAAACAGTACTGATTCTAAACCTCAAAGCTTACTGAAAACCAGAGAGCCAACCAAGCCGAACTATACAGTAAAGTATCGATCACTTATTGATCTCCAGGACTTTAGATGCTCTAGAGACTCGGCCCAAAGCCCCAGGCCCAAAGAGATTGTGGTGACTGTTGATTTGCCTCTTCTAAAATCTGTCAAAGACACAAGCCTTGAAGTAAAAGAGAAGAAACTGCTGCTGGAGACCAAGAAACCAGCCTACAGATTGGAACTACATTTAGCCTACCCCGTGGATGAAGACAAAGGAGAGGCCAAGTTCAACAAACAGAGAGGACAGCTCATCGTCACCCTGCCTGTTCTTTCTCATAATTTGCCTCCTGATTTATTTGAAGGGCCAGCAATGGCCAACCATAAGAGCCCAAGTTGTGATGAGAGCGAGGAGGACAAAAGTGAGGTTGAAGAAGAAGACAAACAGAAAAAGAGGGAAGGGGAGAAAAGGGAGCCGGAGCTACAGAAAGGGGCTGAATTAAAGGAAGAAAGACAAACTGAAAATGCCATGCAGGAGAACGGGGGGGAAAATAGTGAAAAAGAGGAAGACGGAGTTCAAGAGAAAGGAGAAGAACAAATTAGGGAAGAGGCGATCGGTGCAGATGAGGCAAAATGGAAGAAGGGCCAGGAATACGTGGAGGAGGAAACAGTAGCTGAAGGTCACAAAGGCAGAAAAGCGCAGGAGGAGCATAAATTAAAAGAGGAGAAGCAATGGGCAAAACAAAGTAATCAGAATGAAGATGAGAAGTCAAGTGAAGGTGGACGTGACAGAGCAGCAGAGGATGATGATACTCTGTGTGAAGCTTCTGCCCTGAAAAGAGGCCCAGTGGCTGATGATAGGGGCCTTGTGACTGAAAATCAGCACATTTTAATCTCCGCTGAACAATCCCATGGTGCAATAAGAGAGGAAGATGTAAATCTGGCCTCTAGTTTGGAGGAGGCATCCAAAATGAAACCTTCAGATATCCAAGAGAAGACTGAAAAGAAAAAAGCAAATGTAGCAGGAAAGGCGCAGGTGAGATCAATTGTAAAATTCAGTTTGTTGGTACAAGTTTCTACAAACTACTGATTTTTCCTTTTCTCTCCTCTTCTTTCATCAATTTTGTGCCAGGTGGAACAAGATGCAGCATTTCAGAACCAGACATCCAGTGACGAAGCCAGAAAAACAGCCATGGATGAGTGCGACACTTCTGAGAGGGTTGTGAAGTCCAAGGATACGCGTCCAACACGTAACGTGAAGACATCAAGCGGAGGAGAATCGGGCCAGCGGGTCACCTTCTGCTCTGAAGACGTCACTGTAGGCTCAGCAAAGCAGGAAATGGATGAAGATGACCTGCAGATGGAGCAAATCTCACCAGTCTTACAACGTAACAAGCCTCCACCTGTATTACTGAGGGAAATTGATAAGGATGGAAATGAGATAGTAATCAGTGATCATACATCATCAGCTGGGTTCACCTTCCTAAACACTCTAATGTACGAGCTGGACTGATGGTGCTGTGAAGGATGCAGAAACATCGCTCGGAATTTTTAAAAACCTGATGTTCCTGTTTTGTTGATTTCATGCAAACTTGTGACAAAAATGGGGAATAAATAATTTGGATCCAACAGAATAAAGTACTTAAGACATGACAATGAATACTTTTATTTAATCTTTCACATATGTAAAAATTGTGGGTCATCTGCACAGTAAAAAGCACCTCCCTTTGGTTGTTAGTCATTGACCCTGAGGCACTGTTTTCAGGAAATTTATCTAATCTTGTAATTCCCATGTCTGATGGAAGTAGGTCAGTGGGTGAACCTGCAGTCTCTTTAAACACAAGGAAGGAAAAAAAAATACTGTTAAGAGACTTGCCAGCAGCACAAGGTTTTGTGCTGCCTGCTATCATAACGTACAGTAAGTGCCACTCTGTTTCAGATGGAGCAAGAGGTAACATATTTATGCTTGTCTCCGACCCCATTTTGATAAACGGAAACTGCCTCAGAACATAAATGTAAGCATATAACAAACAGCTTGAAGCTCTTTTTAAAAACACAACAAACTTAATATTGTCTTTTCACACAAAGGCAGCATAAGGAAACTACGGCGAAGCCATTTACCACTGCAGCTTCCTCTTCAAATACTCTTAGACTCTATCCCACAATGCTACCTACTGCAGCGCACACATGCGCGTGCACAGAGGTTTCTAGGCGGCAATGTTTTTCGATCAAATAGGTCTCCGTCCTCATCTGGTTCCTCTCTGGAGGGAGTTGTCTAAGAATTCGGAGTAGCAGGAAAGTGAGCAGAAGTGCTGCTCCACCGGTGCGTCTGTGCCTCCCATGTCATCCACCAGCACAACTGTGTGAGAGACTTGGTGGAGGTTCATGCTCACTGCAGTCTTGATGTAGAAACTGATGCAGATGCGACCGCAGTCACAGGTCTTGGCTATTTTGAGGTCCCGACACAAGTGAGCGGGGATAAGGTGAGGTCCATATGGGATTCTGTAAAGTGACAGAAAGAAAAAAGGATTAATGAGTTTTATACTTGCTAGAGAACCACAGCGAGGTCTAAACTGGATGTAGAGCAGCATGTAAATCTAACCTGAGATTGGCCACGGCTCTGGAGGCCAACTCCTGAAGTGGAAGTGGGAATGTAAGCTGCATTTTGTGGTCCAGAGGGTTGGGCTGGATGAATGGATTTCCAAACAAGTCCAGGTTCTCTAGACTCAGCTTGCGGAAGTCACAGGGCAGTACAGCCAGCTGGTTGTGTGCCGCGGACAGGAACCTCAGCTTTGAGAGTCGGCCGATGTGGAACGGCAAACACAGGAGTGCGTTATCGTCCAGTTTAAGGTTCACAAGTTCTCTGAGCTGGCAGAACTGAGCAGGGAGCATCTGTAAGCGATTCTGGCTGAGGTCCAGGTGTTGGAGGGTCCGCTGGAGGGTGGACAGACAGAGTGCCTCGCTGAAGGCTTCCAGGTGGTTATTGTGAAGGATGAGTTCGGAAAGACAGCTGAGGTCACCGATGGTGGCAGGAAGTTTCTTGATATGGTTGTTACTGAGGTCTAGCTTGCGCAGAGCTGAAAAAAATCAAACAGAAACACCTCAGCTTAGAGAGCAGAGTCTACTCTGACACACAAATTTTCACTTTTTAGGAGTCTGGGGTCTTGAAATGGCTTTTTCCCCATGTGTTACTTGGAGCTACACCCAACAATTTATTATTGGATTTGCATAGACAAGTAGACATGGTACCTTTAACCAACTTGACTCACTTATTTTATTTATTAATTTACCTTTGAGTGAAAGCATTCGCATGTCCACACGTGACAGTTTGCAGTACGACACCTGCAGCTGCTCCAGGGAGTGAGGGAAGTTGGAGGTGAGTGGGTAATCCTTCTTGGAGACGATGGCGAGCTTCTTCTTGGGCTGCTCTACGTCTCTGGCGCGAACAGGAGTCAGTGTGGACAGAGGAAGGCTGCTCGTGTCACTCCCTCTGTCTGCTAGACGAGCCGCCGAGAGAAAGTTCTTCAAGCTGTTGGAGTCGGCCTAGAGATAGATAAATACAGTTACTCTGGATCAGTGGATTAACAGGAAACAGCAGTTTCACGGCTCCTCAAAGGTCGCTGTGCTGCATGACTAGATTCACTGAAATATCTAACCCAGATTCCCTGACCTAGAATGCTCTGACATACTTCTTTTGAATGAACAGGATGGACTATATGCAGCTGGGAGCGAGAGATTGTCGGTTGGATAGAAAATAGAGGAGTTGGAGACAGGTTTGTGCACCTGTACAGTGCACTGACAGGTAATTTAATCCATTTACTGTAGGAGAAGTAGAATGTTTACAAAACTGTGGCCATGCAGGTTAACCGAGGTTTGGTTTACACATTTCTCCATGTTTACCTGCTCAATTTAAAAGCCTGTGAGAAGGTGTGTGCTTTCTAAGAGTGTGACGCTAAACACCTCGGAGGGCTGTGCAACATAAGAAAAACAAACAATAAGTCATCTAAGCTCTCTGCTGTGGCATGAACTGGGGTTGAAACTGAAGTGTGTATGTGTGTGTGTGTCTGTGGTTGACAAATGAGTCAGAGAACATAAAGTTCTTTTTCCAGGACAGACAAAGAGAACAACCATTCCAAGGGCCTGCACTACAATGCAAAATTAGACTCTTAGCGAGGTACTTAGTGAGGGGGCAGGGGGCTTTAATACAGTGACATGATCCTATGACAGGGAAGTAAGCTAAGCCTACTTGCTGGCTTAAATTCTGTGTTTATATTCATTCTTCAGTGTTCTCAGAATTCTGAACACCAGCTAAAAGAATAGGGCTAAGACTATCCCAGGCACATCAAACAACAGCCTGTTAATCTAACAAAGTGTCTTCTGTCCTCTGAGTTTTCCTATTACACAGACTCAAACAAGACAGCTTAGGCAGCAGAAGCAGGTTATGTGTATTTTTCTAATATTACAGTTTAAACATCATCATAAAATATATCACTCTGCTGTGAGAAATGTAAAAACAATTTAAAAATTACATGTTACAGTCAAACTTTTATTAACTAGCTGAGTAAAAGCTCAATAAACAACCATGTAACAGTGGAATTGGACAGTTAGATATGTCTGTGAAGGCTCTCAGTCATCCAGGACAGTTAGTTAATGCAAAACAATTTGTTTCACTCATGTAATGTACATACATCTTCTAATTTAATTCAGGGTCTTCAGTTGTATACTCCTTACTAAGACTGCAGTCACGGTGTGCTCTATGTCATACCTTGCTCAAGCAAATGTCAACAGCAGGTTCCTTTAATCTCACAGTGGCCTTGCCTTCCTCCACAAACCAAGTGAAGAACTTCTCTATGTTGCCTTTTAGCTAGAAGAGAAATAAACGGGCAAATTTCAGCGGTGGAAAAAAACATTACACAACTCCAGGGCGGTGGTGCATCAAGCAAGTTAAGACTGGAATACTGAATTTCAACATTCAACAGCTAGGTGACAACAGCTGCAAACGTTTACATCAGAGGTTGACAAAATGAAAACAATATGATGAGGGTTCCAGTTTAGGTCACTATTGGAAAAATAATGAATATTTTAAAAGGCAGATCTGATTAACTCCAGCAGTACTTTCCAGTGAGATTTTCCTGATGTTTGTTGTTTAGGTAAATTTGGGATTTTTTTTTCTTTTTCTTAAATATCATTTAGTGTGTGTGCACAGGAACTAGTGAATTTCTATTTGAAAAATGATCCAATCTTTAACTCACTATGAAAACTGGCCATAGATCAATAAACTAAATGATTAACATATTAGCTGCTGGAGCTTGAAAATGAAAAGAATAGGTCTCTGTGTTCTCACTGACCAATAAACAGCACAGGCAGTGGTTTTCTGGTATTTGCAAAAAAGAAAAAAAAAAGAAAAAAAAGATTACTGGTATTAAAACTGTCTTAAATGACTTGTTAGGGTGTAATCTGTCAAACACATCTAAAACACATCTCTCATTAATGATATAAATACATTTTGCCAAAAACTTATGACATTATTTTTTGTCTCAAAGTGGGTTTTCTATATCTTTCATTTATCCAATGCCTCTTACCAAAACAGGTCTAAACAAGAGCAGAGCAGAAAATGTAACAAATATAACATACTAGTTCTATAAAGATATCGTAGGTGGCCACTATAATACAGAACAGAGTCATAAAGAGAGCAGCAAAACAGGTAATTTCTTTATTTTATATATACCCCCTTACTAAATCCAGTTGACTAAAGTCTACTCATCAACTTAAGGAAAGATATTCGACTTTAAAAACACATATAAACATCGGCGATCACTTTTTGGCACAACACCGTAACATTTCAAGTATATTTTACTTTATTAAATAGTCTAAACAATGCTGAGTCGCCGGATCAACTGATAGTTTTCACGATTTATTAAGATATTAACTTTTTAGAGCCGTGCCGTTGGGTTTCATTATTTATTTATTTACTTTTTTCCCTCTGAGTGTCTGAAAAGCAAGGCATGATGGGATAGCGTCACTTCACTTCTCATGCCATCCATGACATAACAAACGGACGCCAGAAGAAGTAAATTACACGTTTCTGGCCTTAAAATGTACTTTGAAAAATTGAGTAAATTAAATAAAATAATTAGCTTTAATCATCTTGTAGTTTGCTTACTTTAGGGACCAAATAAAAACAGACGCACCACACCCTGAGATAAACATTAGCGCCAGACTGAACAGATAGTACTTGCTGTACAATAGCTTTTAAAGTAAGGATTAAATACCTTGTACTTTGATCCAGCTCTGTCTTTGGCTGTGCAGATCATCAAGTAGATGTTGCTGCGCTGAGTCGTCTTGTCCAAATGCTTTCCAATGGAGAGCACTGCTCTCGTCCCCTTGCCTCGACTTTTCATCCCAAACGTTGGCAGCATCCGATTCACCACCTCGACATCACACTGGAGCTTCATCGCAGTCTCTTAAGTAACAGACTTAAGTCCGGCCTAACGCCGCGTCACAGTGAGCAAATGCTTGAAAAGCATACCAGGTGGAAAACTTCGGTGAGAAACTTAGGCTAGCTCGAAGCGTTTGTGGTTAGGCTGGCGACACATCCGTGCTCGTTATGGATGTCAACAACAGACCAGCCTTCTTCACAGAGCCGCAGTTGC